TAAGCCTCAGATGGCTCAATGTGCACCCACAAGGTATAAAACAGTAGCAGAGTGAGCTAGGAATGATATCTCCCCTGGTTTCTCTTCAGTGAACAGTGACTATGAAAAGACAAGTTGTCAGCCTATTGTTGAAAAGTCAACCTTAATCAAAAGGAATTACACAGAGCCCTCTTCTAGGGACATCAGGTACAAGAATGGTGATAGAGTAATGAAGCCACCACCCTGTAGAATTGATTAAGCCTACCTACAAAAAGGAACTCAATTTGTGGTTTTTTTCCTAGAACGTTCTAGAACCAACCAGAGATAATTTCTGAGTATCCATTGCTTTGCACTATCCGCGCACATGCTTAAAAATCTGTCAGAGGGGCTGCAGAAATGGCTTGTGGGCTAAGAGTGGGTACTGCTCTTCCAGAAGACCTGAGTTCAGTTCCCAGCACCCACATCAGGCAGCTGTGAGCTGCCTGTAGTTCTAGCTCCAAAGGGATCTGGCATCTTCTTCTGGCCTTTATAAGCACATGGCAGGCACACATGCACACACACACATCCACACACACATTTTACACACATGCCCACTCACATAAAAATAAAGTACATACTTAAAACCCTGCAAGCGCAGGGTTTGCTGGTGCACACCCCTGTCATCCTAGCACTTGGGAGGTAGAGATAGAAGGGTCACAAGTTCAGGGTTAGCCTTGGCTACATAGCAAGCTTGAAGCCAGCCTGACTACATAAGACCCTGCCTCAACAAACAAACAAGCAAACAAACAAACAAACAAACAAACAAAAACCCAAAACAATAATAAGAGAAAAATCTGTATCTTAACCAGGCAGGACTGTAATCGTAGCTCTCAAAAAGAATGAGACAGGAGACTCGAGCTCTATCTGAGATTCACAGCAATCTGATCAACTTATCAAGTTTCTGTCTCAAAATGAAAATGAAAAAGAACTGGAGAGTGTGGCAGAGCACTGGTCTCCTATGCTCAGGGCGTACGGTCAGTCCCCCAGCACAAAAATAACAGTATTAAATCTTTAAATTCCACTGAATTCCCATACAAAATTGCCATGACCAGACCACATCTATACCAGCGTGTGAACACAGAGTCAGGTCACAGCTAGGCACCAGTGCTTCTCACCCTATACCACAGACAAGCTACCGCACCACGTGGAGTTGCTAAAATGTCACCATTCTCCAACAAACATCCCACACCCACTGGGCCCTGTGTCCTTTGGGCACTACAGCGGAAGTTTCCGCACTACCTGGACAAAGCTTGCTACCAGCAACTCGTGTGCTAGTTATGAGTCCCAACACGAAGCCAAAGCCAGCTGGACACAGCGGCCAGAAATCCTTGACACCCTGTCACCAGGGTGATCTTCTTTCCCCAGCGCCTCTGCGGAGCTCCTCAGAGTTGAGGCACAAGCCCCGAGCAAGCCGCCTCCCGCTGAAGGGAGGAGAAAAATACACAACCACGCACTGGGCATTTCAAATGTATCTGGCATTCCTGGGTATATACCCCTAGGCAGGAGGCCTCCCACCACCTCCCTCCTCCCTGACGCCTGCAGCTCAAAGGATACATTGCTAGAACCGGACAGTGAGCTGGTTGTTTAGGCGGGGTACTCAAGGAGGTTCGTGGAGTGGGGCTGGGCCTCCTGCCTGAGTCAGCCACTCAACTCTCCTCAACTCATGACAACCCAGCTCCACTGACAGGAAAATAAAAACACATTGTACTGCCAACCACATAATTCCTGAAAGCCCACAAGGTGATGAAGAAAAGCACCAGTGTGTGCCTGATACTTTTCTCCAGGTGTCCAAAGCAACAGACGACTTCACAGGGAAACGTGTCTTGATCATACTTCACGGACAGTCCTTGCTTCTGCTCCACAGGGGCAGGTAGCAGAGCAGGCCACCCCTGTTCGCCTGGCGGCTACAAAGGCACGTGGGGCGCTGCCTAGTACACCACCGCAGAGACAGCCAACAGCAAAATCAGCACTATCCGTCCCTGCCACAGCCCCACACACAGCCAGGCGTCTTGGGGTACAGCTAGTACTGTCCATCGTGGACGCTCACGGTGGACCTTGCCCCAGTGAGACAAACCACACACTCTGGAAATCAAGAATTTATTTCTGAATATTTCCATGTTTCGTTCTAACGCAGCACAGTACCAGGCGAACTTCGCTTGGGGTTGGAAAATGATGTTTAAAGTAACCTACTCATTCTTTAGCATCTACCAGCCCAGCAGGCGTGTTTCATGCACCATACATAGTTAAAGTTCTATGGTTCACACCCAAACCCCAAAATCCTGCCACTAAACAAACAAACAACAACAACAAAAACACAGGCCCTCAGTGTACAGCCCAGGTTAATTCACACTCACGGTCCTTCTGCCTTGGCCTCCTCAGTACTGGGAGTACAGGTGACCACCACCACACCCAGAATGATTCTGTGAACTTCTAGCCATATACATAGAAAATAAAAGGGCACATTCATATGAAAGCAGTAGCATATTTAGGATATTAAAAACAAATAAAGATGTCATTGAAAATACATTGAGATATATTAAAATATATTGAAATGGTATTAAAAATATCATTGAAATGACAAAAACATCAAACCCAAAAGCTGATTCCACCTGTGAAGGACCGAAGAGCATGAGCCCTGCTAATCTGCAGAAGTACAGGGGTATATGCTAAGCCTCAGAGGGGGTCACAAAGAGGCCTTTGTGTCCTACACTATCTTCAAGCTTTATGAAATACAGACAGAGAAGTAACTCATAACCAGAAGAGAGATCTGAGAAAGAAGATGCTCATTTACAGCCCCCTCCCAGAAGGCTACTATCCTGGCATGGCTACAGCACTTCCTGGAGCCTTCTTGGGTCATGAAAGACAGCAGGACAAGAAGGAAATTTCTAGAGCCAGGCATGGTGGTGCACGTCCGAAATTCCAGCACACTGGGAGGCAGAGGCGGGCAGATCTCTGTGACTTCAAGGCCAGCCTGGTCTACAAATTGAGTCTAGGACAGCCAAGGCTACACAGAGAAACTCAATCTCTAAAAACAAACAAACAAACAAACAAACAAACAAACAAACAAAAGTGTCTTTCTCAAGTTCCCTGAGGTCAGACCTGGAGGCCCCAAATATCCTGATGCAGAAAGTGAAATCAGGCTGGCCATGCCCTCTGACTCTGTTTACTGCATGTCCCTAGCAAAAATCAGGCTAAATTTCCTTTGAACAGAGCTCATGCCAAAGTGAAGCTACTAGATACAGAAATGATAAAAAACCTGCAGACCATTTCCCTCATTACAAAACTACTCTTAAAGACAAACAATATCTAGGGAACCAGGGAACCAAGGAACGAGCGAGCTGGGAGTTGATACCACAGCCTGCCCTGAAGGGGGAGTTTACACTCTATTTATTGGACACACATGTCCTGTGAGTATGAAGAATGAGAATAATCCAGACCTTGCCTCACCTCTACTGTTTCGTGTTAGCCACAAAAACTGTTAACTTTCAGAACTCCTCTGTTCATGTGAGTTCCAGGTGCCCCAAATCTCCTGTAACCACCCTATGAACTGCCCCAATACTCTGGGGCCTTGAGCACTCCAACAATCTCTGCCCATAAATCTGTTTTGTTCTTGAGATATTCACCACACTGGCTTGTCCAAGCCATGTTCAACACTCTCAGATGCTGTTCATTTTACAAGTCACAAAAGCTATGGATTAGCCCCATACCTGTTTCTCAAATGTGGAAGACAGGCCTAAAAGTGTTTTGTTTTTTTATTTTTTTGGAAAGCATGCTTAATCCCAGCCTGCCTTCATGGCCACTTGATGGGTAACTTGGAAATAAAGAGAGCAGACATCATTTTTCACCTGTAGTCTTTATTTGCCATAAGCAATTTGCATAATTCCTCAGACCAATACAAAAGCCCAACAGTGTTTTAGTGCTTGTAGAAACAAAACTGTGAACATTTTCCAAAGTGCCAGCATCAAAGGAGACTAGAAACTGTCCTGTAATTCCGTGGCTTGGAGGATGACCAGTCGCCACTATACATGTCCTTAGGCTTCTTGGGATAGGATACTCATCATGTTCCCAACTCAGTGTCTCCAGTGTGGGGTGTGTACCTTCCTCCCCAACAGAGAGAAAGGTATCAAGTCATTTTCTCACACTCATGCTGAGTACCAGATAAATAGGAAGCTGTGGAGATAGGCTGGTGCCCAGGGTAGTCCCGCCATTCTCTCAACATCACATAGGTGGCTGCTACAGCCAGCATGTACTATGACAAGGGGGCAGCCTGTCCTGTGGCTATGAGCTCTGCGGATGCTAACACCTCCTATCTCACAGAAGAAGGCAGTCAGGGCAGCCAGCTGCCAAACAGCAAGTGCCCTTTACCTGCGGCATTGTAAACCTCAGACAGACACACTAAGGTCTTAAATGCAGCATCCAACTCCTTTTTAAAAATAAACACGTGACCCGCACGCTCTAGCAAGAACAAAGCAAGCTCCACATCCCTGGGTCAGTGGCTCTCTGCATGTCTCCTACACAGAACAAATCCCAGCACAAAGGCTGGGCAGAGGGACCAGCAGAGGGAGCCAGTGCCTGTCCCTTGGACACAAAGACCACATCCTGCACCAGACCTGCCACAGGCTCAGAGGGGGCCTGTGGTTTTAGGTTTACTAACTGCATGTAGTATTAAGCTCGGTGGTTTAGATGCTTCAGATTTGAGCACAAAACTGTCCAGCAAGCACCCACTGCCCCCTCTTGCTGCCCAGCAACACGTAACAACTGCCTTCCTGTTCTGTAAAGCAAGCATGTTGTTCCCATAGGACTCAAAGCCTCCTGAAAGACCTTGAGGGAGTTGAAAGGTGGCTGGCTGCAACCCACAGCCAATCTGCCTGACAGACAGGCTAACCACAGCCTCACCCTCGGTGACGCCAGGGGCCTGAGAGTTGAAATGGGGTGCTTACAATCAAAGGAGGACACGGCGACACGCCACAAGTTGCACTTACGGGACAGTGAGTGGGCACCTTTGGGCAGGTACTCGAACAGAAGCGGGCCGTCGTCACCGAGCACGTCAGCCTTGAGTGACAGCAGGCTGTTCTTACTCATGAGCGCCGCGCGGAGGTTGGCCACTGCGGTGGCCTGGTGCAGTGCTTCCTCCTTCTCTGGGGTGAGGGGCGGGCCCAAGTAGCTGGTCTCTCCTCCCAGGAGGCCCTCTTCGATGTGGGCATAGAGCTCTGCTCTCTCTCCTCGGCTGTCCGAGCTGCTGGCCTCGGTGACTGTCAGGTCCACATCTAGGGATGGGGGGGTGGGGAGACACACAGGTCACTTGGGGCTATTTCAACTGGGAAATGAAGGCAATCAGGAGGATAAAGGCAATGAAGCTTCAGTCCAGTCCAGCCCTGTGGAGGGTTAGGTATTTAGCACAGTGGTAGAGCGCTTTCCTAGCGTACAGAGGGTCCTGGGATCAGTCCTCAGCTTTAGGGGAGGGGGGTGGGGGAGAGACAAAACAACAAAAAGAACAATCCAGCCCTGTTTGGCAATGGGTTGTCAGAAACCAGAAGCACTAGCAACGGAACATAAAAACTGGACTTCGGCACACATAAAAACCGGGTGCCAGGTGTGGCAGGGCATGCCTGCAGTTCCAACACTTAGGAGGAAGAGTCAAGAGGACCAAAAGTTCAAGGTTATTCTCACTTACATGGTCAGTTTGAGACCAGCCTGGGTCATATGAGGTTCTGTCTCAGAAATAAAACGAAACGCAAAATAAATAAATAAAACCTGACATGCTTCAATGACCACCTGCAAAACAGAAAGATATGTAGGCCATACAGTTTGGTTTTTCTGAGACAGGGTTTCTCTGTGCAGCCCTGGCCGTCCTGGACTCACTTTGTAGACCAGGCTGGCTTTGAACTCACCTGCCTACCTCTGCGTCTCTGAGGGTTGGAATTAAAGGCGTGCGCCACCAATCTCAGCTACCTATTCATATTTTGAGACGAGGTCTCAAGCACACCGTGTTAGCCTCTAGCTACCTTTGTAGCCAATGGTGACCTTGAGCTCCTGGTCCTCATGGCTCCACCTCCTAACCCTGGCACTGCAGGCATATGCCACCAGGCCTTGTTTACACAGTACTGGAAACTGAACCTAAGACCTATACATACTAGGTAGGCACTCTACCACCAAACCATATCCCATCCCAAAGTTAGATAGTCAATAAGACATATATCAAGCCTCGAAAATCTCTTATAAATCAATAATAAAGGTGACTAAGAACATGTAGGAGATCTGACTAGACAGTTATCTAAAGGCATGGATGGCCAGTAATCTCACAAAATGACATTTAAACATCTTTGTCATAAGAGAAACACAAATCAAAAACATAGTTAGGGTCTGGGGGCAATGGCTCGGTGGGTTAAAAGCACTTCCCATTAAAGCATGCAGTTCTGAGTTTGAATCCCTAGCACTTAGGTAAAACGTCAGGCATGACTGTGGTTAAACGTTTGGCTAGTACACCCAAGACCCTGAGTTCAACCGCCGGTACTGTAAGAAAAACCACACTGAGATACAACTTCACACCTATGAGAACAGCACCTACTACACCAACAGAAAAGAGCAACTATCAATGAGATGGAGAACCTGGAGCTTTGTCAGAACCGATAACCTGAGGCACGCAGCTTCTATGGAAGATTGGCAGTTTCTCAAAGGTGACTGACTGGCCTAAGGCATGCTGGTTAGAACAGCTGAAGGGATCAAGGAAGGAAATCTGTTAAGTAAAGGGGTGGGGAGAATGTCACATATGATCTGAGCCCAACCTGTCACTCCACCCTCCTGCTGTAAGGCTCCTGTCCTAAGGAGGAGACAGCCACACTGACCCACAGTGAGAAATGCCCCTGCAGTACAAGTGCTAATGAGCCCTCAGACCCTCTCCCCAGGTGCACAGACTAGAAAGGGTGAAAAAAAAAAAAAAAAAAAGAAGCAAAGAAAATATCAATGGTTCTTCTGTGTGCTCAGGGACTCCTAGACCGTGACTGACATCCAGAGAGAAATGCTTAGCAGCAATGATATCAACAAGAGAACTCCGCAGCAGAAAGGTTATTCATTCATCAGTAGGGAAGTGCCTGGAGCTCCCTAAGACACAGGCTGCACTTTTAATGTTATAAAAAGCTAGGCATCGCCGGGTGGTGGCGTCGCTCGCCTTTAATCCCAGCACTTGGGAGGCAGAGGCAGGTGGATCTCCATGAATTTGAGGCCAGCGTGGTCTACACAGTGAGTTCCAGGATGGCCAAAATTACATACAGAGAAGCCCTGTCTCAACAAACAAACAAACAAAGCTAAGCATCCTCAACTACTTGTGGAAGGCTAGTGTGTACTTTGGATGACCTAGGATTTAAGGAAACTTTTTATTAGATTTTATTTGATTTTTTATTTTGTACATGTGCTCTGCTTGCATGTACGTATGTACAATATATGAATCCTTGATGCCCACAGAGGTCGGAAGAAGGTATCAGATTCCTTGGAACTGGAGTTAGAGATGACCGTGAACCACCTCTGGGTGCTAAGAATCAAACCCAAGTCCTCTGCAAGAGCAACGAGTGCTCTTAGCTGCTAAATCATCTCTCCAGACCAACAGTGTTTAGGAACTTAACACTTAGGGATGAACATGAATTTAAAGTGCATTTCTCTATAGCAGCTAATTTGCTGAGCCAAGTGGATGGTGGGACTTGGACAACTCTTGGCACTAGCCTCCGGACTTACGTCATCTAGCCAACTGTGGCAAGAACTGTCCCCACTCTCCCCAAAACATAGCTCCAAGGTAAACAAATTACTTCTTACAACGGCTCCTGAAACGCTTCTGTGAGCTAAGAGTCAACACAGCCCTTGAGCATCCTTTACCAACTATGGGGGCTGACCAAAGCTACCATGCCACCTGACAAGACTGAGCCCGCACTGCCACTCTCTCAGGTGCTACAGGCAAACAGATCTGGTGGCACCTTAAAATATGTTGAAAAAGTAAGACGGGATTTCACGTAAGTGAATTTAAAAAAAAAAAAAAAGACTTATTTTATGCACACGAGTGATTTGCTTCCGTGTTGTGTACGTTAAATATCTATGTACCTAGTGCTTGTAAAGGTCAGAAGGGGACATGGAGTTCCCTGGAACTTGGGTTACAGATGATTGTGAACCACCACGCAGATGCTGGCAACTGAACCTGGGTCCCCTGCAAGAGCACCAAGTGCCTTTCACCCTGAACCTAACCCTCAAGTGGAAGGCATTTAATAAAACAGAACAAAATATTAACACCTGAGAAATTCAGCAAGTCACTAACTTATTTTTTCAGCTTTTTTAAAAGAAATTATTGTATGAGACAGGGTTTTGACATTATAGGCCAGGCCAGCCTCTGGAATGCTGGGATTACAGATGTTTGCCACCATATTAGGTTCAACTTGGCTTTAATTATGAAAAATTTTCCAATAGAACATTAGAAATACAACAACATTAGAAATATTATTTTTGTTTTGTTTAGTTTTGTTTTTGAGACAGGGTTTCTCTGTGTAGCCTTGGCTGTCCTGGACTCGCTCTGTAGACCAGGCTGGCCTCAAACTCACAGAGATCCACCTGCCTCTGCCTCCCTAAATGCTGGGATTACAGGCATGCACCATCATGCCCGGCTCAAATAATATTGTTCTAACCATAAACTTTAACTCTCGTTTATGCATCTGTATTACACCTCAAAAGATAATAGTAATTTTTATCAAAGCACTCACCTCATTATACACTTGTCCATGAGAAAGCTGAAACAACCTGAAATGATGTCACATCTGATCCCCCAGAGCCTGTGATTATGTCGCCTTCTGAGAAAATCAGGGGCGGTAGGTAAGAAAGGCAGACTGTTCCAGGTCACTGCATAGCCTTAACTGGAATCACAAGGGTCTTAGCAGCAGAAGGAGGAAGCAGGAGAGTTACAGAAAAGAGAATGGAAACAGGGTAGGAACAGCATAGGACATGAGCCAAAGGCTACAGAAATCTCTGGGTAGTGGAAAAGACAGAAAACTGGAAACTGCCAGCTGTCTGCTGACTGTGTAAGACTCCTGGAGCCTGCAGGTAACTCAGATGTGTTGCTCTAAGCCACCACAGCACATAGTGGCACATTTTACAAAGTCTGGATGAGGTCTGAAGGTGAGGCTGGAGTCTTGGAAGTGCCAATTGTAGTAGTGATGTGCCCATAGCCCAGTGCTCTACATTCACTGGGAAGTAGTCAACTCACCGGGACACCAGCTGGCTACGGCACAGCTGGCTGTGGCTGGTTTGAAAACTCGGACCTGGCAAAGTGCCTTCAACAGGACAAAGGCCAAACCACAGTGGATCGGCTTTGGGATAGGCGACCCCTAGGGTGCAGGCTAAAGGTGCTGGCCACCCCACCCCAGTGAGCTGCGGGTTTAGCAGCTTAGCCTTACGCTTTCCTGCTGCATATTTGTTGTGCAAGGCTGTCCTTGGGACCTAATGGCCCACGGACATTAGGACATCTTAAGAGCAGCTGCGAATACTTGAATGTGAACTTCAAGACTGGGCTTGTTGATGTTTCCTCGTAGAAGAAAAGTGTTGGGGAGGGCCATCAGATCCCCATTTGAGATCTCGGCCATTCCCTTTTGCAACTCTCTGTCAGATAAATGTAATTCTTTATGTGGTCTTGTGGTCTAAAAATACGATAAAACAGAGTAGCAAAGGTTAACTGAATGGAGGACTCCATTGATGTGGTCATTATCCAGCTGCAATGAGAATTTTTGTTGGTGTGGCTCTTTGGGGGTCATCATGTTCTACCAATGAACACTTTTGATAAAGTCATTGGTTCACCAAGTTGGACTTTGACAGAATAATTACTTTGGGTCTTCCTTGATGCTCTATTTGGAGTAAGTATATGTTTGCTCATAATTCTCCATGAAAAGTTCACCCAAAAGTGTCTGACACCTCCTACCTCCATTTTTTTGTTTTGTTTTGTTTTGTTTTGTTGTTTTTAAGATTTATTTAATTTTGCCAGGCAGTGGTGGCACACTCCTTTAGGAGGCAGAGGCAGGCAGATCTCCAAGTTCGAGGCCAGCCTGGTCAACAGAGTGAGTTCCAGGATGGCCAGGGCCACACAGAGAAACCTTGTCTTCAAAAACAAACAAGAAGATTTATTTTTATTTAAGGTGATAGGTATTTTGCCTGCAGTTAAGCACAGGATGTGCATGCAGTGCCTGTGGTGGCCAGAAGAGGGCATGACATGCCATGGAACTGGAGATTCAGGCAGTTGTGA